TTGAAGCAGGGTCCTGGCAGATGTCATTGGGCCCCACTGGTGTTCAAAGTGTTCTTGGGAGGAGCCCTTAGGACTGCAGCCATAAGCTGGTGCTTTTGCTTGGACAGGGTAAGCATAACCATATTCATTTTAAATACATATTTTATCAAAATAATGCAGAAAAAGTTAAAGTAACAACAAGTACACAAATTCTGTCATTAAAATCAAATTTTTCATGCAGTACCTTCTGACACCAAAATACATACTCTGAGGATGAAATGTTCTGGTTCTTTTTATATTGATATATATATGTATGAATACATACATGTATATGTATTTATATGTGTATATGTCCATGAAGCCATAACTGATAATAACAGAGATTATGTTACTGTCATTCTTTCTTTGATTGTATAACTTATAAGATGGACTCAAACATGTATTTTGTTCAATACATCTAGAACTATTTCTTGTCTCTCTCAGTTTTTTCTCTTCTGCTTCATCATACACTTGGCAGGAATTAACACTTGCCTTGTCAAAAGCGATCTTAGTTCTTTGTCATTTCCAAAGAGAAAAATCACACATCTGAGCAGGTTTCCAGAGACCTGATACCTAAAGAAAACCAGTGCTCACTGAGTAAGAAGAGCAGCACACCAGTCACGTGCTCTGTACTCTATATCAGAGTCCTCTACTGCCCATGATACATATCCCACCTGTAAATATTGATTGAAGTTATGTGCTAATTTCTCCTACAGGACTGTGGATGTAGCTCAATTGTAAAGCATTTGTCTTCTACACATGAAGCCCTGGACTCAGTCCCCAGCACCATAAAAAGAAACTGTACCTAGAATTTGCTTATTTTTTTATTACGTTTATTATGTGGGGGTGCACACATGCCACATGTGTATTTGGAGACCAGAGGACAACTTGAAGGAGTCTTTTCTCAAGACATGTGGGTTCCAAAAGTCAAACTAGGGTCATCAGGCTTAGCAGCAAGCGTCTTAAACCCACTGAGCCATCTTTCCAGCTCCCAAGTTTTTAAATACTTAAATATTTTATTCTTTCATTGTGGTAAATATGTCATACTGTTCTAATAATTTTAATAATAATCTTTTTCAGTAATTTTTTGAACTGTATTTACAATGTCTGCTTTCCAAAATGGTAACTTTTAGCAACAATTAGTGGCACATAGAATTATATCTTACCATTTTTCTTAAAATCCAGCAACTTTTGAACTAATCAATAATTATGAATCTTTTATTTACCTAAGAAAACCAAGCTTTGGAAATAATTCTGCCATTTAATTTATCTTACACAGACCTCTAATATTTTTCTGCAATTTGAACAAATCGTCGAGTAAAGGACTCAGAGTGCTCCATTCACCTTAACTGAATCCAAGGTGATACTTCTGTCATAGGCTAATTCATGCATTTTCTTTCGGGTTTAGCAAACTGTGGCTTGTGAGTTAAATAGGTCTGGGTTCAAATCCCACATCTATAATTTCCTAGCTGTGTACACATTGATGAATTATTTAATATCTATGTCTTGTAAATATGAGGATTAAATAGTGCAATCCAATAAAGCAGTGTCCAGCATAATCATCGCACATTCTTCTTGTGAGTTTTCATGAATGCTTTTCTCTCACTAGATTATAAATCAATAAAGTCAGTTACTATCTATTTTATTAATCTCTAGCATGGAATAGTCTTTGCATATAACAAGCAATTGATAAACTTAAAATCACTTAGAACTTGCAGACGAAATTTTCTTCTCAGACCATCTATACAGTTATAACTACTTTAAGCTGACCAAAATCAGCTAGCCTTTGCTAACACCACTACTCATACATATGTTCTCTGTTGTGGGGAAAGCCCTCCTGTTGATCATGGGTAACAGACCTGGTCTTTCTGTCTACAGTAATCATCACTGGTATCTCTAGCATTGTTGATCATGCACAAGGCACTTTATAAGCACAAATTATGGTAGGTAAAGGTTGAGGTATGTGTGAAACAATAGGGATGATGGGGATACTGTTCCTTCACTCTCACCTGACTCTCTTGGGTTTGTTTTATACTTACATGGCCAGAAGAGACGACCCAGTATAGTAGGAACTAGTCATGGTTACTTGTTAGAGTGGTTACTGGTAGAGTCATGAAACTCTACCTGGGGCTTTCAGAACACTGAAAGCTATAACTTCAGATCAACCCTACAAAGTAATGAACTGTGATTTAATTTAGTAATATGCAGACTATTGAACTAAATTCTTCTGGCTTCAGCCCCATGTTCTGTAGTTACAGAAACAGAAGCACATTTATTAATGTCAAGTGTTGAGTAATAACTTGTTATATGACAGGCTATTAAATTACCTTTGAGTGTCTTGAATTAGCTGATTTGGGCCAATTCCTTTGATACATTCAAAAGAACCTAAAACCTTTGCTTTTTCAATTGCATAATATAATCAAGGGAATGTTTGGTTTCAATAAGTATTCAAAAGGTTTTGAGGGGTTTTGTGTACAAATTTATAAAGTCTAGATCTATTATTTTGAAGTCATTCATCAGTTTGAAATATGAAATAATGATTTACCTAGATTTTTTTTTCTTATTGAATAGTTTCTTCTCAGCAGAAAGTCTGTTATTTTAATTTTTTAATTTATTTTTATTATGTGTATGATTGTTTGACCTGAGTGTATGTAAGTACGTCATGTACATGCAATGTCCACGGGGGTCAGAATAGAGTGTCAGATCCCCTGAAACTGGAGTTTTGGATGGTTGTTAGCCACCATGTGGGTGCTGGGAACCAAACCCAGGTCCTCTGCAAGAACAGTCACTGTTCTTAACCACTGAGCCATCTCTCCAGCCCCTAAACCTGTTATTTTTTAAATTTTCATTTATTATTTTCATTCTATGTGCACGAGTGCATTGCCTGCATGTATGTGAGTGCATCCATGTTGTGCAATAAGTAACATGATGGTTTTCTTTATCAATAAAAATCTCTAAGGCAAGATTATTTGAGAATGTATGTCATTTTAAAATTCAATGTAAGTGCTGGTATGGTGGCACATGCCTTTATTCCCAACACTCAGGATACAGAAGCAGGCAGAGCTCTGTGAGTTTGAGGCCAAACTGAGAGTTCCAGGCCAGTCAGGACTACACAGTGGGACCCTGTATCAAAAAAAAAAACTCCATTAAAATTCAACCCATGAAGAACTGTAGGTTCATTATATCCAGCTAAAAACATAATTGTGAACATCATTCATAGAAGGAAGAAATAATTGAATTATAATATTCACTGAAAACTTTGCATGATTATGTTTTCATAAAATTGTAATTTTGTGATGCAGGTGAATGTGTAGCTGCAGGAAGCAATAAGAATTTCATAGAAGACATAAAGTGGAATTCATCATTTGTAGAAATTGTAACATTGCTGTAGATTCAACTGGTGAATAAAATTGAAGGGTTAGGCCTTCAGTTCTATAAGAAAGATGAAACAGCAATAATCCTGTTTTCGTTATGTCAAAAGCAACTTTGGGGTTCTATTGATAAAATTTTTCTTTTTAAAAAATATTTTATTTATTATTTTTATTTTATGTGTATGAGTGTATTGCCTGCATGTATGTGAGCGCACCTGTGTTGTGCAATGCCACAGTAGTCAAAAGAGGGCTTCAGATTCCCCTGGAACTGGAGTTAAGGACAGTTTGTAGCCACCTAGTGGGTGCTGGGAATTGAACCCAAGTCCTCTACAGGAGAAGTCAGTGCTCTTAACCACTGAGCCATCTCTCCAGCCCTGATAAACTTTTTCTAGGACCTGTGATGTGTTGGTTCAATAACAAAAAAGAAATGTTTTCTCAGATACAGAGATCTTGTAATCATCCAAGCTTCACCTACCTCCATACTAATAACTTCCACATGTCAACAGTGTACCTCCTTTGGACTAAACAACTGCCACAAATCTAGGAGAAAGGGCACAATAAAACAGGCACATCCATAACCTACTTAGATCCTTAAAATACATGAAATATCTTTAGTGAACAACTGCAAAGAAAAAGTTTGAATAAATGACTTCACAGTGATAGAATTATCAAACTTTGTTATTTTTATAGTGTGTGTCCCCGGATAGGACTCCTATATTAAACCTCATCCTCTCATGGCTCAGGAGCCATTGTGGAAGTGGGGGCAGAAAGCTTGTAAGAGCCAGTGTTAGTCCATGAGCAGAGAGAAGCAGAGGTTTTCAGGCAACTGGAAGTCTGTTCATGTGAACTTGTGGCAATGGTGCCACAAGACCAATGCTGACTCAGTCAAACAAGGTCCCAGCATGGAGTGAGGGAGATGGGAGGCCAGCCGGCCCTAGCCTGGGAACTGTTGGAACTAATTACTGCTGGGTTAGGGAGAGTAGGCCTTCCTTAAGATCTCTACATAGTCTGACTAGACTCCAGTGGATGAACTTGCACTGAAGCACATCTTAGTACAGATGGGACAGGACTTAACATGTATGACAGAATATGTGAAGTTCAGTTGGGGGGAGCATGTAGGGGTATGGATGTGGGAGGGGGTCTAAATTTGATTAAGAATTATTCTATGAAATGCACAAAGCCTCAAAAAAATCTTAAATAATTTTTAAACTAAACTCTCAAATATAATATTGGATGAAAGAAAATTCAGATAATAAAATTTTAAAAATACTTTGACTTAGAGTATTTTAAATTATATGTGCTCCTAAGAAAAGACTGAAGGGAAACAGCAGTAGTGGGATAATAGTGTCTGGGGTTGGTTTTCTTTTCTTCTTCTTTCTATATTTAATGTATTGCTCAAATAGTCTAAGAGGTTCTGTGTATATTTGATATTCAGAAAGAAATAAAATCCAATAAGAAATGTTCTCCCCAAATATATAATGTAGGTCTTCTTGGACATTGAAATGGTCTGTAACTGTTTGGGATGACTCCCTGGCACTGGCTTTTCCCTCTGCAGACGTCTAGCCTTCCTCTCTCATGACTTTGTTCCCCTTGGCTTCCCTGCAGGCGTGTACTGAGCTTCGCTGCCATGATCAATCAGAGCTGCCAGGAGCAGTTCATCTTGCTGGGTTTCTCAGACAGACCCAGGCTGGAACGTGTCCTCTTTGTGTTTGTCCTCATCTTCTACCTGGTGACCTTGGTGGGCAACATCGCCATTATCCTGGTTTCCAGGCTGGACCCCTGCCTCCATACACCTATGTACCTCTTCCTCACCAACTTGTCCTTCCTGGATCTCTGCTTCACCACCAGTTCCATCCCTCAGCTGCTCTTCAACTTAGGCAGCCGCGACAAGACCATCAGCTACGTGGGGTGTGCAGTTCAGCTGTTCATGTTCCTGGGTCTGGGGGGCACCGAGTGTGTTCTACTGGCCGTCATGGCTTACGACCGCTTCGTTGCAATCTGCAAGCCCCTTCACTACTCTGTCATCATGCATCCTCAGCTGTGCTGGGAGTTGGTGTCTGTGGCCTGGGGTGTTGGACTCCTTAACTCACTGGCTATGTCACCTGTGACCATGAAGCTGCCACGATGTGGCAAATGCCAGGTGAAGCACTTCCTGTGTGAGATGCCAGCTCTGATCAAAACTGCCTGCGTGGACACGGTGGTTGTGGAGAGCACTGTTTTCATCTTGTCTGTGATCATCGTCCTGGTGCCCCTGACTCTCATCCTGGTTTCTTACAGTTACATTGCTCTGGCGGTGATAAGCATCAAGTCCCTCGCTGGAAGGAGAAAGGCTTTCAACACGTGTGGGTCCCACCTCACCGTCGTCTCCTTGTTCTATGGGAATATCATCTATATGTATATGCAACCAGGAAACAATTCTTCCCAGGACCAGGGGAAATTTCTTACCCTCTTTTACAACTTGGTGACGCCGATGTTAAACCCTGTCATCTACACGCTGAGAAACAAGGAGGTGAAGGGGGCTCTGAAGAGGCTTGTGACTAGGAAATGGGGAGAAGGCTTTTCCTGAAGTTGCTTCTTTTACTTAACACAAATAAATAGTCATTGGAGTGAAAATTTACAGTTCATCCAAAACTTTTACCTACCCAATAAAACCCCCAGTGGTGGGACTTGGGAGTGTGTATTACATAGCCTCAAATATGATAATTATTAGCTAGATGAACGGTAAGATTTGATCTATAAAACACTTGGGTCTGTCATACCACATCATCTTTTCTCCCTTCTAAGTTGCCCACATCTAACTAAAATCCAGCAGTGGATTTAGTTCAAATCTGTGAACGAATGACAGAAGTTAGATTGAGAAGCAAAATCTTATGACCTTTCTCCCCGATCGTTTGTATAACTGTTGTTTTATTATGGAACGGAGTCGATGGAATGCCAGAACAGCTTTGTTTCTTAATAACTATAAATTTCATTACATGGAAAGGATAATGCATCTGCCTAGACATGGTCTATGATATCATTTTAAGAGCCAAGCATGGTGACACACCTATCATCCCAGTACTCAAGAGGCAGGGTCAGGAAGAAAAAATAAATAATAAATAGATAGGTGATAGATAGATGATAGATAGATAGATAGATAGATAGATGATAGATAATAGATATAAACAGATTGATAGGTAATTGGATAGATAGATGATAGATAGATAGATGATAGATAATAGATATAAACAGATTGATAGGTAATTGGATAGATAATAGATAGATAGATAGATGATAGATAATAGATATAAACAGATTGATAGGTAATTGGATAGATAATAGATAGATTAGATGATAGATAGATAGATAGATAGATAGATAGATAGATAGATAGATAGATAGATAGATAATTGGGGGGGTTAGGTTTTAGGGGGTTACTTGCTTTGTTTTTATTTTGGTTTTTGAGACAGGGTCTTTGCGAAGCCCTAGCAGTCCTGGAACTCCCTGTATAGACCAGGATAGCCTCCATCTCACAGAGATTGCCTGCCTCTGCTTCCCAAGTGCTGAGAAAGGCACTCCACCATGCCCAGTTAATATTTTTTAATTGCACTTATTTATTTATTGTGTCTATGTGTTCAAATCCCTATTGTCCACAGAGGTGGGTAATTACAGTAAACGAGCATCACACAAAGTGGAGGCTCCACAGGCTTTACACGAGGTTAGGATGGAGGAAAAATTAACCTGAGACTCAGAACACAGAAATGTTCTTGCCTGTATTTGGTAAAGAATTGAATGACTGGTAAGTGTGAAAAGGGCTTCTTCCAAGAATGGTCTTGCAGGGAGAAGGGAAGTTGAGACTAGGTCTTACTACATATCCCAGGCTGGACTAGAACTCACTAGGAAACCAGGATGGCCTGAAACTCATGATCCTTCTGCCTCTGCCTTCTGAGTGCTTGGATTACAGGCCTACAACAGTATGTCCAGCTTCTCCGGAGAATTCTAACTTCGACCTTACCAATGTGAGTATTTGTGGCAACATTCACACTCTGAGGTCTGAGGAGTCTAAACATAGTCAATTCCAGGACAGTGCAGGTTACAGCGTGAGACCCTGGCTTAAAAATGAATGAATGAAGCCGGGCGTGGTGGTGCACACCTTTAATCCCAGCACTTGGCAGGTAGAACTCTTGTGAGGTCAAGGCCAGCCTGGTCTACATAGTGAGTTCCAGGACAGCTGGGGGGCTACAGGGAGACCCTGTCTCAAAAAGACCAAAAAAAAAAAAGAGAAAAAAACATAGAAATATAATTGGGGGTGGTAATCTT